CCCTTTGAATCCTCAATTTAGTTGAGTCTGCATCCAAAGTTTTAATTCTGTAGGTTTAGAAATTTGCCATGCCCATTATTTATCATTTCACATTCATTTCACGCTTTCATTCTTTTCTCCTCCCTCATCCTAAGGCTTTAATTCTCCACTAAAACTTCTAAAATACCAAGTACTTAGTTTAAACCAGCATTCAAAGCTTAATTCTAAAGGTTTTATGTCTTTACATTCTATATATTAGCTTTTCTTGTGATCTGATGTATGCACTGCTTTCTTCTTTTGTCAGATATTCAGAGAATTCCAACTTCTTACAAGAACAGATATTTATAAGAAAACAAGGCACATTTTGGAATCCTATTCAGAAAATATACTGACTTCTTTTTCAGTGGTGGACAATCCAATCAATATTCTATTGCAAGAAAAAATGAAACATTACACAGATGAAGACATGTTGAAATGTTAGTAAACCTTGTGGAGCGGCGTGATTTTGTCTGTTATCTGTCAGGATATCTAGAAAAGTTATGCTTTGGTAGTCAGTAAAATTCAGTAATTTACATTTATTGAGTTTAAAAATATATTTAAAAATTATTAAAAATTTACATTACTAAAATATATTTAATAACAATTTTCAATATTTAAGTAATAAGTGAAACTACTGGTGGGGAGAAAAAGAAATTTTCAAATTAGGGGAGGAGGAGAGCTATAGATTTTAAAAGTATACTGGATATTGTAAAATTATATTTAGGGAACTAGTAACCTGTTCATTTTACAATACAAATCACAAGGGGCAGTATAAAATCTTCCTGGCTGATGGACAGACAGTACAGAACTCTTGTCTTCTCCTGGCAGTGCTCTGGAGGGCAGACATGAGATTCTGAATGTTTTATTAGAAGAGGGTGTGGTTTAAAAAGGTGTGAAACACTGATCTAGGAAGGTTAGTTTGTTATCTGTCCAAGGTAACAAAAAATCCAGATGTTTCAATACTAGCTTAGCTTACAACTGCTAAAAGCTTATTTTTACTTCAAACGTTAACATATTTGCTTTGACAGACATGAAGCTGACAGCCACATGTTTACTCCTCCCAGATGTTTTTGGGGATGATCCCAGTCTTTTTGTCATCATGAATGAACAGGTGTGTAGTATGTGAATCGTCACTGGTTTGACATTTTACATCTTCATGCGATTATTTATATATTTAATTAATTAATTTATATTTTTGAGATAAGAGTCTCACTCTGTTGCCCAGACCGGAGTGCAATGGCATGATCTTGGCTCACTGCAACCTCCGCCTCCTGGTTCAAGCGATTCTTGTGCCTCAGCCTCCTGAGTAGCTGGGATTATAGACATGCACCACCACGCCCAGCTAATTTTTGTATTTTTAGTAGAGACGGGGTTTCATGGTGTTGGTCAGGCTGGTCTGGAACTCCTGACCTCAGGTGATTCACCTGCCTTGGCCTCCCAAAGTGCTGGGATTACAGGCGTGAGCTACCGAGCCCAACCGCAATAACTTATTTAAAAGCAAAGTTGGTGGCCTATTTTGAAGTATGTTTGTTGTATTTACAAATATGCTACATTGCAACAAGCCCATTTATTGTAACACCATGATTAAGTTCAGGTCTGTTTTATTATTTAGCTATTTTACGTATCACAGTAATGACTCCATTCTTTTTTTCAGGTGCAAGTATCCACACCTGTGTTGGAAGTTAAAAACCCTTTCAACATGGAGGTCTGCGAATTTTCTTTATATTTAGAAAAGGAGAGGCTCACAAAGGTGGACGACTGTGTTACAGCCTTGGCTGCGCTAGTAGCTGCCTTTCACGTATTTGGGATTGAGTGTCCAAGAAGACTGTCCCAAACCTTCAACTTCCTAGAAACGTTGATTTTTGATATGCACAATCCCTATTTTCCTTCTTTGAAAGAAAAGGAAAAGGAAGTAGGATTTCAACTCCCAGTCACTTAATAGCATGCCAAACATTGTACTGGAATTTACCTCTGGGAAAGCTGAAGCTTCATAAAAAATTGTTTTGATTTAGGGTTGTGGTAGAGGTAGGTATGAGAAAAATAATCTTGTATCATAGATGCTAATGAATTTCAGTGCTTTCTATCTTTACACTTAGATATTAAGTTCTTTGTGAAATTCTGTAATAAAATTCTACTTCATTAAAGAGCTGTCAATTTGAGTTTTTAGAAATTCCACGGTTGAAGTTATATTTCCAGAGGTGCCTCGGTTTTTTTGAAATACACTGTACTCAAATCTTTCAGCTTAGAGAATGGCCTTGGACTGAACTCAGTGTGCACACTTTATGCCCAGGAGCTGCACATTTGCGGCCAGCCTGTGGGCTGTCTCTTTGGTCTGAACATCACTTGGGAACATTTTGAACTTGCACATTTCAAGAACGGACACATTAACTCTTCTCTCCCTCAGGGGATCTGCCTTGCCCCAGGAGATCTGGTTGTCTTTAATCGCTTGTTGGGAATAAGGGCTGCGGCATTTTTGAGGTCTCCTCATTGCTGGCTGATCTTGCTGGTACAGGTCCTCGTGTCTGTGACCTGTGTTCATCTGCTACTGCTTCTCGCCTTGGAGACACAGTGACTCATCCTGCATGCCCAACTGGCTACTGCCCAGAGTTCAGTTCTATCTGTTCTGCTCTTAATGGCTGCAGAAGTACTTTTTGGGTCTAACAAGATTCAGTGCACTCTCCCTCTTTCCAACTATTTCACAAGGTAAAAACTCTCGTTTAAGGTGCCCCTTGATGTTATTATCAAAATATCAACATTACTTATTAGCTTTGAAAGACAGACCAGGTCCTTTTGGGAACAGAAAAGGGATTTAAGTGTGTTAAAATACCTACACAGCATAATGGGATGAGCATTTCCTGGGTTACATCATCAAATTAATTTTTTTTAAGTTGAAGAAAGGTTCATGTGGGCTGGGCATGGTGGCTCATGCCTGTAATCCTGGCACTTTGGGAGGCCAAGATGGGCAGATCATCTGAGGCCAGGAGTTTGAGACCAGCCTGGCTAATACTGTGAAACCCTGTCTCTACTGAAAAAAAAATTAGCCAAGTGTGGTAGCACATGCTGTAGTCCCAGCTACTTGGGAGGCTGAGGCAGGACAATTGCTTGAACCTGGGAGGCGGAGGTTGCAGTGAGCCGAGATCATGCCACTGCACTCCAACAGGGTGAGACAACAGGGTGAGATTGTGTCTCAAAAAACAAACAAAAAACAAAAGAAAGGTTCATGTGAACTATTGAAGAAATAGTTTTACACTACCCATCTCTGGAAATACTGCAAAGTATTTATTCTATCACTGAAATGTCAACAGCCTGCTAGATACCTTTCTCTCTAAGAAGGACTGTTCATTAAAATGCTGAAGCCAGTGAGATAAAAGAAGTCAAAGAACAGTTGCCCATTTCTACAATTATTAATTAACTACTTACATCAGGCAGAGTAAATAACAATTTGGCACAAGTCATTTTGCCTAACCTAGTTCCTATCCTCCAGTACTCACTTCTTCCCTTTCATCACTAGAATGTACCTTTAGTTCCTTGCAAACTTTCCTTTATTTCCCCAAATCACTCCTTCTTCCTTTTAGTCCTTTATTCCCAAATAAATTTACTAAGTTCTTACAGATTCTTTTCCTTATAAGGTACACACCCCTATGGCTAAAGTTGAATGACAGCCTCTCTCAGGCCGGGACAGGATGACAAGGTAGCTACAGGGAAACTGCAGTGAAGTTTGGCTCCAAGCATGACACAAACATGGGCTAACCTTGAAGGTAAATTCAAGCCGATTTTATTGTCTATCTCAATGGTGTATCTATCCCCAGTGCCCAGCACGGCCCTGACACTTGCTAAATTCAACATTGCTTGACCAACATACCCTATTTTATTTAGGGGCTGAGTCTACTGAATCTAGAAGTTGCAGAATGGCAGCCTGAGGACAAATATCAACCTGCAGAAAGGTTTTATTCGACTTGCACAGTGTTTTCAATTTAAAAAAATGCCTTTAGATGGCAAAGTCCTATTCAAGGTTTATATTTCTATTCCTCCATTTTCTCTCTCTTTTTTTTTTTTTTTTTTTTTTTGAAACAGGATCTTGCTATGTTGCCTGGGTTGGTCTCGAAATCCTTGGGCTCAAGAGATCCTCCTGCCTCAGCCTCCTGAGTAGCTGGGATTACAGGGTTGAGCCACTGAGCTTGGCTTCCACCATGTCTTACCCCAAGCCTGCATCTCTCATTTCAGAGATCTCCCTACAATCATGGTGCCCTATATTCTCTGTTAAAACTTAGACTATATCCCAGGGATGGAGTGGTGAGAGTTTTCTCCTTCTTGAGGTACAGTGAATTCTGCACCACCCTATGGATGCTTAATGCCTTGCCTCTAACATGTAACAACACGCTGCATAGAATGAGTGGATGTCTTCAATAAGATTTTAAAAATCAGCTGGGAGTGGTGGCTCATGCCTGTAATCCCAGAACTTTGGGAGGCTGAGGCAAGCAGATGACCTGAGGTCAGGCGTTCAAGACCAGCCTGGTCAACATGGTAAAACACCATCTCTACTAAAAATACCAAAATTAGCCAGCCGTGGTGGTGGGCACCTGTAATGCCAGCTACTCAGGAGGCCGAGGCAGGAGAATCACTTGAACCCGGGAGGCAGAGGTTGCAGTGAGCCGAGATCACGCCACTGCACTCTAGCCTGGGGGATAGAATGAGACTCTGTCTCCAGAAAAAAAAGAAGAAGATGTTTAAAATCTCATGATTTAAATTATGCTTTAGTTCTATGCTTTACACTTGAAAAGAAAAATTCCCAATGGGGATGAATTGTACTTGACCTAACAATATAATCTTTCAGTATTTTTGTCATCATCTTGGGACACAGTTTGACAATTCTGAATCTTACAGATTCATTACACAACTAGTAATGTCCGAATACTTGATGCTCTTCCTGCTCTTGTGCTGCTTCTCCTATTTGAGAAGCTTTTTTAAAAATCATACATATGTAAAAAGCATCTGCAATTAAGATTTTATTTCATTCATATCAGATATAACAAGTACAACTTGAATGTACAAATTCTGAACAAAACATAAAAAAGAAAAAAACAACAACAAAAAACTTATTTAAGCAGATTCATGCAAATGAATGACTGGGACACTGTAGATGTCACTGACCCTGTTTTACCTTGAATTGACAAATGCAAAGGACTGCTAATGGACTTCCAACAGGGACATCAAAGGAAGTCCTACATCATAAAAAACGAAAGCAACTAAAGAAGAGGTGGAACTTCCCCCAGAATTCAGACAGCATGCTACAAACTTACTTTCTATTTTTAAAATAGTCCTTGAATAAATATCCAATCCTGGAATCAGAAAGTACATCAAAAGACGACAAAATAATTTACCTTTTGCCTTAGAAATGCATTCTTGCAAAAGAAACACTACCAGCTATCAATTTATAATCAAGGGTTTTCATTTAAAGTGCATCTGTATGCTTATATATCGAGGCAAAGTATTCTACAGAAAAAGGAATCCTTCCAAGATGGAGGTTCTTGGCTAATTACTTTGGGAAATCACCTCCCTGATCTGTGAGAATTTCAGATTTTGTGTCAAATGAAGTTGCTCCTTCACACCTTGCCTTTTCAGTAAAACCACGACACTCACTCTTCAGCCAACCCTGAAAAAAACCTTTGGGTTTGGAGGACAAGGCATGACCTGAGACAGGGCTCTTTACAGATTACTGTTTCTGTTGACAGAATGAGCTCTTAGTCTCTGTAAAGCACCACAGTTTCATCAATGACAATTAGAAGCTGAAGATCATCTCATAAATAGTTCAAGACCCTCACAAACATCCCCCCAACCATAACTGCATACAACTGCATACTCCTCTGATACCATCTGGCTCTTGTAAACACGGGGGCACCAAGATGCGTGAGACTGATGCCACTCAAATACACTACCTAATTTATTTATGTTTATATATTTTATTTTTCAATTCCATTCTTTTATATACATGTTTTTGGTAATTATAGTAAAGATGCTGGTGAAAAGTAATTTGTTTAACATTTCATAATGCGTGCAAAAGGAAAAACACTGATTCAAAGAAAAGTCACTCTTACAACTATTCAGCCCTGACAATTATGACAAGCAGTTAGGCAATATCATGACTTGCAAAGTTATACTTAGCATAATGTTGCAATTCAAAATATGGCACAAAATTAACAATACAGATAACAGTCCTACCGGCTAAACTTAGCCAGGTTTTGACTAATTTGGTTTAAATTGAAATTTGATTATATAAAAAGGTTTCTGAAAGTATTGAAAAAGAAACAGTGTACATGAAAGAGAATTCAACAATGTTTACAAAATGCCAAAAGTTCTTACTCTGCCCCCCCATTACCATAAATAATTAATGAAGTCCCCCTTTCCCCCCGCCCCCCAGACTCAAAAAGATTTACAAAGATAAATTTAGCTCAGTGAACAGAACCAAAAGATGACTGTTGTTAGACAGTACCTGGTTAAAAGCTCAAGCACTTTCATAAGAATTCATATATATTGTCTCTTGAGGAATATAAATAATCCGATAGTGTTGCTCTTTTGAGTTTTGGAGACTTCTCACTTAGGAGTTATAACCGTCCTTGTGCTTTGAATAAAACATGAGCTTTAAAGCAGAATGCTGATGGTATTCAGAATTCACCATCTTCAAAGTTCATTGTGAGAATTCTTCTCTGCAGCTTTGAACATCAGGATGGAATTGAAAATTTTGAGAGCAGGGCCCAGTTTAATGCTCATAATTTTAACAATGTCTGTTTGAGTCATAAGTAGAAATGCTTCTCCATCAATTTGCTAAAATGGGGGAAAAAACACCAGAATGTGGATTAACAAGATGCAGTGCTGTAGAAAATATTCAAGGTTAAATTATCAGCTGTCTTCTACATAGCAATGCTAAAAAAGCACACATAGAAGTTCATATGTGCAGTGACATTTCTTGATATATGGACCTTTTTTATCCACAAGGACACACCCAAAAGTGGACTGGGAACAAAGTAAACTAATTCACCTGAAAAACCAGCCCACAGGAAAACAGAAGGTGCTCATACCTTTCTGTGATCACTCTGAATGAAGTGTAGAGTTAAGAAGAATATGGAAAAATTCAGGGTGGCCAAAGTCTAGTTTTTATCATGGCAGGTTTTAAAATTAGAAGAGGTGACAGGTACATGAATGTTAGTGGACATAAAATAATTCAGAAAAACATATCAGCTAATTCCAACTTTTTTTTTTTTTTTTTTTCTCCTTCAAAATCAGCCTTCCACGATGAAGAAAATCAGAAAGGTAACACTTATTTCTAGTGTGGCCACAGTTAGTCTTTACACACTGAAGAAAAGCCTTTACTAACAGGGGCAATCAAACAGTGAATGTGAGGCTGGTGTTAAGAGTCACTGACTTTAAGGTGGTTCTTCTAAGACTCGGGTAGGGTAACCATCAGGAAGACCCTTCCTCTCTCTGGGCATCTTCTAAGACAAAAGTCTATGCTTCTGAAAAATAGGCTACTATTCTCTAGAAGTTGAAAGGTACAACACATCTTTTAGGTTAAAAGATAAAATACTATGAAGAAGATGTCTGGCTTACTGGGCAGAGCAAAGAAACAGTCTTTCAGCTCTTAGGTAACTTTGTCACCTTAACAAAAAAAAAAAGAAACAAAAAAACAGTTTCCCTTTCAGTTTTCCCACCTTATACAAAAAGTCAAACACACATCTGTTCTCCGCCTTAGAACATCAGAAACCTTGACAGCAATGCACTCTGTTACGGGCTGAATGCTGTCCCTGTCACAAATTCATATGTTGATGTCCTGACCCCCAGTACCTCAGAATGTGACTTTTATTTGGAAATAGGATCAAGGCAGAGGTAATTGGTTAAGATGAGGCCACACTAGGGTAGGTTGGGTGCCTAATCCAATTATGACTGGTATCCTCATAAAAAGGAGAGATCTGGAGAAAGAGACACACATAGAGGGAAGGCAATATAAAGACCCAAAGAGAGACTACAAGAGACACACATAGAGGGAAGGCAACGTAAAGACCCAAAGAGAGACAACCATCTACAAGTCAAGGAGAGAGGCCCAGGACAGATTCTTTCCTCACAGCCCGCGGGAGGAAGCAACTCTGCCAACCCCCTGACTTCTAGCCTTCTTCAGATTCTCAGCTTCTAGAACTGTGAGACAATGCATTTCTGCTATTTAAGCCACCGGTTTGTGGTTGGCGTTCTTATGGTGGCCCTAGCAAACTAAGACAACGCTAAATGCTGCTAACAGTTCTCTAAACAAAGGCTGATATAATTAAATCGCTACTTCTTAAGATTTTCCTCTCTCCTTTAAAAATGAAAGACTTGTAAATATAGACTGCCTAAATACTTCATCAGCAAGAACTGGAGTCATCTTAGACAACTTCTTCAAGTAACAATTATATGGAAAAAGTGTGCTAATTTCAGTAAAAAGACATCCTGCTGTTGTAAACTAGAAGGAAAAATGTTCCAATGTTAATCTCCAAGTGCAACACCGTTAAGCCGCAGGTATGAGAAATGTTCTCCTGTTTTTTGGAAACATTTGGTCTGTTCTCATTTGCTTGTGCTATGACAGCCCTCTGATAAAGCAAGGTCAGGAAGAAAGGCAGATCTATTAACATTTTGCTCAACTAAAGCAGACCTTAGTACAATGGATAGCCTGTAGAAGTCTTCTAAGTCATTAATGAAAGTGTCAACTGACATTCCCAAGGAGCCCACTACAAAGGCTGATTGGTTTATTATAGCCTTGGCCCTACTGAAGGCTTGCGGCAGACACCAAGTCTCCTTCTGAAACTATGTAAGAGTATAACACAACAGATGACTGATGAAAAGAAACATTCAGAGAACTTAGTGGCTGGGATTTGAAGTTAAAAGTGGGACAGGAAGGATACATTTTGGTAGGTTGTTATTTATAAGGTTACATACACTGGAAAGAAAAATATTGAGGCTACTTCTAAACTATTACATACAGGTTGCTCTGACATGTGGCCATAAGAACAAGCCTTGACTGGCAGGAAGTAAACTTTATTCAAGAAAGTAGATCCTAAGAACAACAGTGACCACTGCAATGTATTACAAGGCTTACTTTTTTTTATTAGCTTCTGCAATGCATATATAATGCTATAATTCCAGACATTAGGTGTCTTGCTAATGGCCCCAAACGAGGGAGAGGGATGTGGAATTCAGGAGCTCTTGCCTTCCATTTCACTGCCTTTTTCACTGTGCACTATTTGTTCTTTTCCAATGCCTTAACTCGAAACCACAGTGACACGCTCTGTCTGAATGAGTCTTTCTCAGAGTGTAAAGGCATGAGTGTATTGACTCAATAAAAATATACTGAATGTCTATTATATTCCATACACTCTTCTTGGGCCTAGACATATGGCAGGGAATAAAACAAATAAAACAAAAACAAGCAAGCAAAAAACTTTTTGTGGAGTTTACATTCTAGAAGTGGTAGACCGACCATAAGCCAATAAACATACTAAGTAAGCCAATTAATCAGTAAGTTAGAAAGTGACTCATGTTGGCCAGGAGCAGTGGCTCATGCCTGTAATTCTAGCACTTTGGGAGGCTGAGGTCAGTGGATCACTTGAGGTCAGGAGTTCAAGACCAGCGTGGCCAACATGGTGAAACCACATCTCTACTAAAAATACAAAAATTAGCTGGGTGTGGTGGCGCGCACCTGCAGTTCCAGCTACTTGGGAGGCTGAGGCATGAGAAGCGCTTGAACCCGGGAGGCAGAGGTTGCAGTGAGCTGAGATTGTGCCACTACACTCCAGCCTGGGTGACAGAGCGAGCCTCTGTTTCCAAAAAAAAAATAAAAAAGGTGATTTGTGCTATGATTAAACAGAGCTGACTAGGAAGATGAATGGGCAGCAGGAGCAGGGATGCATGTGTGGCACCAAGAAGCAATTTTCAAGTCAGAAAGTCAGGGCAGGACTAATTAGTAAGCTGGCATCTGAGCAGAAGTGAGTCACATGAAGATCTGGAGGAAGAGTGTTCTGTGCGGAAGGAGGAGCGGAAGCAAGCCTGGAAAATCAGAGGAACAGCAAGGAGGCCAGCGTGTAGACCCGTGAGGGGCAGAGCAAACAAAGAGCCAGGGGCAAGAGTGGTAATGAGGCATCAGACTGCAGGCCCTTATAAGGACTTCTGCTTTTATTCTGATTGAGAGATGAAGCTATTGGAAGGATCTGAACAGAGGAGTGACACGGTTTGACTTAGGTTTCAGCAGGGTCACCTTGGCTGTGCTGGGAATAGACTGCAGAGGAGCAAAAACAGAACCAGGAAAATGAGTTTGGAGGTTACTGCACTCATCCAAGTGGGAGAGGATGGCGGCGCAGACCAGGGTGGTGGTGCAGTAGAGTGATAGGGTTTTATATGTTTCAAAGATACACCAAATAGGATTTTCAACAGGTGAGATGTGGCGTGTGTAAGAGAGAAGTCAAGGATAATTTCCGACAAGAGCCTATCTGAATACTTGTACTTTGCCTTTTAGAGATGACTTATAAGACTTCAGTTAGATTTGTACTACGGTTTACTTGTAGGACTCAAAACCCAAACCCACTGACTTTGTGAGACACTTGAGAACAAGGATTAGGTTTTACTATTTTCGAATCATCCTTCTCACAAGAGCATGACACGAAGTAACATACACACATGGTCGGAATTTAACAAATGTGCACAAGATGAATGAATGACGGAGTGGATGAGTGAATAATAGATATCGACAGACAATATTCACTATCTCACTCCTCTAGAGAAGGATCTGGCTTTGAGGGTATTTGGTAACTGAGGAACATCTCCAAAGACAATTTGCCATGAATAAAAAAATTACTCGAAGAAATACCATATCATTTTGAATTTAGACTTGAATCTTACTTAAACTGAATAATAGAGCAAACCTATATGGATTATCTAGATATCAATAGAATAAAAAACAGAAGTTATAAAAGAGATGCATTATAAATTTATTTTCAGAAATGCTTTCTTATTTTCAAAGGTAATGACTACGTGACACTTTCCAAGATAGACCAACAGCTCCCTATGTGGTTCTACGTCCGCTAGCGATAGAAAATGAATTCGGGCTGAGCAGAGTGGCTCATGCCTGTAATCTCTGCACTTTGGGAGGCCAAGATAGGCAGATCACCCGAGGTCAGGAGTTCAAGACCAGCCTGGTCAACACATGGTGAAACCAAGTCTCTACTAAAAATACAAAAAAATTAGCCGAGTGTGGTGGTGAGCACCTGTAATCCCAGCTACTCGGGTGGCTGAGGCGGGAGAATCGCTTGAACCTGAGAGGCGGAGGTTGCAGTGAGCACTCTAGCCCGGGCTAGAAGAGCAAGACTCCATCTTGATTAAAAAAAAAAAGAGAGAGAAAAAAACCAGAAAATGAATTCAGAATGTCAGTGAAGACACTTAGGACTCAGGGACAGAAAATCTGAATAACTGCCAATTAAAGATCAAATAGAGAGAAAATAAAACATTTGCACAATAAGAACATAAATCAGAAAAAGGATGTTGGAAATCAGATCCTTGTGCATTTTAACAGGCTTTCCTCTAATGCATAAATTATACCTCACAGTATAACAACACTGATAACTGGTGGCTGGACTGTTAGCTGTGTCTACACTCCTGCCATACAACTGAAAGTGTGCTGTTCTTAACAGTTGGGCTTTACACATAGGGGCAAACAAGGTGTGTATGCGTGTAACTGTAGACAGCAGATGTTGGAGAAAACCTTCTGAGATTACTCAGTCTACTTTCTGCCTTCTGGCAGGAGTAGACAGAGCCAAAATCAGAGGGGTAATTGACTGCTTTACTCGGAAGAGATGACAGGCAAGTGGCTTATTTTTCAAGGTCTCTACTGAATAAGGGTCTCCTGTTGTAGGCTTACAGAATTAAAAGTTCGAAACCAGATTCCTTTTTATTCTAGTGCTCACTGCCGTAAGTGATACCATTCTTAATCACCCCTTATACTGAAGTTTTGGAGAGGTAGTTGAAAACAACTAATAAAATAATCTTCCAAAAGTGGACTGTGATAAATATCTTATTATAAACATTACTGAGGAATGTATATGACTTAAGGGATTATTTTAGACATAATGTTCATATTACTTATTATAAACCTCAAATGGAGTCAATCATGTTGTTAGAATGATGTTGGAAAATAAAATAATGGAAACTAATTTCACTTTATTAAAAAAATAAAACATTGCTTATTTCTTTCCTTGGCTGCTTCTTCTGTACTATAAACTATATAAATGCATGCTATTAAGTTCTGTGGGTTTTCTTTTTAGGAACCTAGTGTTACTGCTGTGGGGCATCATAAAATGGTACTCACAAACATTCTTTTGCATCTCATCTTATACAAAGACATTTTTATACAACTGATTCATACTGCCTGTTAGTATACATCAGTTTATCAATTTCAACACAACCCATCTCTTTTTGACTCTGCCAGTTCCACACATTTCACCATCCACTGCATTTCAGTGCTTTGACCCCATTAAGTAACATATTGCAATTTAGTGGAACACTTACTTCATCTTTAAATACCTTTCCATGTTCTTCACACCCAGGTAAGCTCTGTATAAATTCTGACACCTGTCAAAAGCAATATCAAAATTCCCAGTTAAAAAACATAGTCAGAATCTAAATGCTACAGGTTCAAAACATGTAACCCATATGCATTAGTTATTTCTCTCAGAATGATTTCTTCTCTTTCAGAAAAAAAAGACTAAACGCTACCTACGTTCAATGTTCCACACCTCTTAAGCCAGTACTCCTGTATCTGGTGTCTGGCAGCAAAGAAAATAAAATATACCTCGTCGGTGCTCCATTTGGAAACTTTACTGGCAGGGATTCCAGCGACAGTTGGAAGTAGTTTGCTTTGCTGCTCCCAGCGCAAGGGCAGACATGGAATTGGGGACTTAAAGGACAGAAAGACAGCTGACCGACGCTGTGCCTGCTGGACAGTGGGTTCTTCCCGGGCACCTGGTCAATGAAAACAAATGGGCAATCACTCTCTGAAAGCAGCCATGCATCTCCCAGATAATGAGACTGGGGTGGGGGTGGTTAAAGCATTGGTTCCTTTCAGCATTATGCTATTGAATAGGCTCTTCTTTGTCTTTACTGAAGGTCACTATAAAAACCAGCCTGTAAATTAAACTGATATTATTTGCTGCAGCACTCATTGCTAAAAATATGCTTCATTATGTTGTTCAATGTTGTCTCTTTAATGCTTCAGATAGAAACAGGCCTCAAAGTTTTAATGGGAAGGAAAGTTAGTTTTATCCTAGGAAGCTGCTTATTTGTTCCCCTTTCTGCTTGTAACAGCCAAGTTGCATCTCAAGTCCAACACCTGTGCTTACCATGTATTCACAGTTAGCATCCTTTCTCTCCTGTCTCAGGGCTTGCTTTGGTTTCTTAACTTCTTATTTACTAATCATACTGATTTCTTAAATAGCCAATTTAGTTTTTTGACAGGGATATGAAATTATTGCAATAAAAATAAAACAGCAGAAATGCAAATGCTTTTGTCATTTTTTAATTTGTTCAGATCAAAATTAAAACTATTAAGTATTCTTACTATAGCCTGGGCTACAGGACAAGGTCCCATCTCTCGAAACAACAAAAAAAACTTACTGAATATTCTATTTTTACGTTAGAGTTTCTGAATCCAAACCTAGTTTTATGGCTGCTTTCCTAAAACAGCCATTCTCTAGCAAAGGATTTTTGTCCTCTGGACGCTTGACTTAGAGCTGTCAATCGTCATCTCCTTATGGTCCTTTAGAACAGAAATCTTTTCTGAAAACTAGGTATTCAAAGCACCTCAGAAGAAAGGCACCTCGCCTACATTTCCTCTCTGCTCACACACCAGCTCAGTTACAAGGACACCTCAATTCTATCACAAAAGCCTTGCTTTTGTATTTCTATGATCTACAGAAAGATGTAGAAATCACTAAGTGTAAAGCTCACTGAATTTTCACAAAGTGAACACACCCATGTAACCAACACCCGGACTGAAAACAAAACGTGGCAAGCACACACTTCCAATCACACCTCACCTGTCAAGCAAAGGTGACCACTTCCTTGACTACTAACACCATAGATTCATTTACCCTCTTTTGAATTGTATTTAAAATGGAAACTTGGGTATCTGGCTTCTTTCTCTAAACAGCATGTTTCTGAGATTCATTCGCATTGTTGTGAATAGTAGAAGTTACCTTCTCTTTGTTGTATGGTTTTTCGTGGTTCTGAATACTCTGTAATTCATTTGGAGATCATGAACAATGAGCATCTGAGTTGTTTTTAATTTGGGGCTATTACAAACAGTGCTATTACAAACATTCTTGTACAGATTACTTTGTCAGAAGCATTTGAACCAGAGCAACTCCATCTTGAGCAGGAGCTGGGTAAAATGAGGCTGAGACCTACTGGGTCTGAGACAACTGCATTCCCAGATGGTTAAGACATTCTAAGTCACAGGATGAGACAGGAGATGGGGACAAGATACAGGTCATAAGGACCTTGCTGATAAAACAGGTTGCAGTGAAGAAGCCAGGCAAAACTCACCAAAACCTCTGGTCATCCTCACTGCTACACTCCCACCAGCGCCAGGACAGTTTACAAATGCCATGTCAGTATCAGGAAGTTACCCTACATGGTCTAAAAAGGGGAGGCATGAATCCACCCCTTGTTTAGCATACCATCAAGAAATAACCACAAAAATGGGCAACCATTTGGAGTCGCCATTCTTTATTCCTTTCCTTGCCTAATAAACTTGCATTCTCACTTCACTCTCTGAACTTGCCCCAAATTCTTTCTTGCGTGAGACCCAAGAATCCTCTCCTGAGGTCTGGATCAGGACCCTTTTCTGGTAACAATTTCTTGAACATATGTATGTGTTTCCGTTGCACAAATACCAAAGAGTGAAACTTTTTGAGATCAGAGCATTTGTGTACATTAAGCTTTGGGAAATCCTGCCAGCATTCCAAAACAACTGCACAATACCTACCAACAGCATATGACAGTTCCAATTGCTTCACTTCCACACCAGTGCTTGGTATTGTCTATCTTTCTCTTTTTAACCATTATAGTAGGTGTATAGTGGTATCACATTATGGTTACAACTGCATTCGATGACTAATGATATTGATAATCTTTCCCTATGTTTATTGTCCACATAGAGAGGCTATTTTGTAAAGGGCTTATTCATGTTTTATGTCTATCTTTCTATTGAGTTGTCTTCCTTTTTTCTTAATGATTTATACACGTTGTCTATATATATTCTGGGTAGAAGTCCTTTGTTGGAAATATGTATTACAAATACCTCCTCCCACTCTGTGCCTTCCTTTTTACTTTCTTAATAGGGTTTTTTGAATAACAGAAGTAAATGTAATAATGTCTAATTTGTTAATTTTTTCTCTTATGGCAAATATCTTATATGTCTATTAAAGAAACCTGTGCTTACCCCAAGACCATAAAAAGAGTTTTCTCTGCTTTCCTCTAAACACTTTATGCTCTACCTTTCATGTTTAGATCTACAATCCATCTGATATTTATGTCTTGCGTATATATTAGGCAAGAATCAATATTCATAGATTTTTTCCACATAGATTTTTAATTATCCAACCATGATTTACTGAAAAGACCATCCTTTCCTTTCCCCACTGTACTGCAGTGCTAGTTTTAACATACATATCAGCATCTTTCAGATTCCATATTTTGTCCCACTGGTCTCTTTATCCCAATCCATAGCTTTAATTACTATCACTTTGCAAGTATACTGATGTCTGTGATGTAGGTCTTTTCAAGATTGCCATGGCTACTGCATTTACATTATCAATTTTACAATTCGCTTTTTAAAAAAAAAACAACAAAAAAACGCTAAGATTTAGATTAGGCTTTCTATCAAACATATTTCTACTAGACAAATTTCCAATAGATAAATTTGGTTAAGAAATGACTTCTTTACAACATTGAGTCTTCCAATCCACAAAGAAGCAAAATCCCTCGATTTCTTTGGCTCTTCTTTAATGTCTCTAATGCATTAACATTTTGTCATTTTCAGGTAGAGATCTCGCACATCTTTTGTTAAACTTATTCCTATGTATCAGATGTTTCCTGAGGCTAAGTGGTAAATTTAAAAAAAATTTATTTCTTATTGTTCTGTTACAGTTTTCTAATACATTTATTCGTAAACTAGCCTAATCTGAAATTTGAATTGCTCTGAATGCTAGAAAGTCACTATGCTGAGTCAAAAATCTGTTTTATTAGAGCTGACACCCACTGGTGCTGGTTCTACCTCATTGAGCTCATACAGAGAAATTCTAGTGTCTGCTCCACATGAAATAGTTCAAATCTTCAAACACGTTTTAAAAAGCCATCATTATCCCTCTTTCCACATTTCATCCAGCCAAGCTCAAAGGTGTAGGTCCTCATCCTATTTTATTTAATATCTATTATGAACCAAATATATAAACCAGAAACAGTTTGTTTTTATTCTCTTTTCCTTTTGGAATTGCCCAGAGTTTAAGGAATTTTTGTGTAGCAAAATACGGAGTAACTTAAAAACATCTTTTTAATCTCGGGTATTCTAAAGAGCTTAGCTATTATTTGAAATATAATATTTGTACATATTTCATAAGACATTTTTATATGAAATGGTAAGATTTCCAATTCTACACTACAGTAAAACAATAGGGCTGACTTTATAATTTGTATCCTGAGTGGGTGCCATATAATTAGTCTTTTCCAAAACTATAGTCTTTGTCCTATTACTGTTTATGTTCTATTAACACTCAGCAGTGTTCATTCTATCACTGCAGATCTACTCTATTTTCATTTTATTTTCTGCTAAACGCTGTATTATTCACAATTCATTTCTAATGTTCCGAACATTGTTCCTTAGAAAAATAACTAACCCATTCTAAGGAAATGACTAAAAACACCAAAGCCCTTATGTTTGTGGTCGCCTCTGCGTGTCTTTAAATCTGATACTATTTATAGGCCTAGACATACATACTTTTCCAATCTTAGTACCAACTCTGCATCCTTCGCATTAAGACTTTCCTTCCTTTTGCTGAGTCTTCGGCACTAACTGATGTTACCAGCCACGGAACATGCCACCTCCTATGATTTTAATCCAAAAGGAATAAAGAAAGCAGCTTCATTTGAGCAAATCTGTACTGCATTCCTTGAACTGCCAGAAAAGTGACTCCAGGTTTTCATTTTAACATGTTATGATACAGGCTAAAATAAATGCAAATACATTCTGGCTCCAGTAGCTGGTTCAGTGCCAAGAGTAAGGAAGGGTAGGTTTAAATGTGCACAATGAGACTCAGGAAACATAGCCTAGTGTTCTAAAGATATTTCAGCCACCGTCCTTTGCCTAGGACCCTATTTCTTGCCACCCTCCTCTCAAATCACTGATATGCATGGAAAAGAAAACTTTTTAAGAAGTTTTCTATATTTCTGAAGTTTCCTGTGATGAAAATTGACCAAAGGTATGTGATCAAACTCTTTTCTCACTCGCCCCACTTGGTTTCAGGTTGTGTGCCTCCACAATGAGTATAAATATTTTAGGCTGACTGGGAATAACTAAAATTACCATATGGAAGGAATGGTCATCCTTCCTGATTCTTGATTCAACAATCTGAAACATTTTATTTGTAGAACCAAAGCTGTCATCCTCAACAGTGGAAAGATAAGAATTAAGAGAAAAGTGACAGTACATTAAAATGGACACAGTATACTGCAGAGAAAAATAACAACATTCATTATGTTTATGAACAAATTAATCTACTCAGTCTAATGTTTAATCAAATAAATCACTAGATTTCTTCAAAAAAATTTTCTCAGTGAGGCCTATACATATGTATGAGAAAGAGACAGACACTAAAGACCCTCTAGTCATTCATAAGAGGCATAAAGACCAATCTTTTGTTGGAAAAAAAGATAAAAAGATTTTTATGTGCCAAATTTGAAGATCC